GAGACTGTTTCAAGGTCACTCAGCTGATTAGTAACAGACCCAGGGTTTGTACCCAAGACCCTCCATCTCCTTTGCCACCCGCCTTTCTACTATACCACAGTACATTAAGTCTATAGCAGGAGGCTTGGTGACTACATGTTGTTGAGATGCCAGCCAACTCTGAAAAAGCTGCATCTGGGTGTGGGGACTAGATCTGTCTTTGGCCTATCCTGGGCTGGAGCAGAGCCAGGGACTTAGCTTCCAGGGCTGAGCAGCCCAGTTTACCCCAAGGAAGCCATGGCACCGATGCTCATTTTAATCATTAACTCCAGGTTCACAAGGCTGGAGCTGGAATGCAGAAGACCTGGGTGGGGTGGGGAGCAGCCGGGGTCTCCAGGGAGCCATGAGCGGTTCTTGAGAAGGAAGAGACCAAAGTTTAGAATGTCTCTGAATGTCTACACTCTGGGCTCATGAATAAGGACTTGTGTTGTTTCTCTCAATTCCGTGGGAGGTTAGCCATCATCTTGTTGGCTTGATTTCAGGATTCTTTAGTGTTCATAGGGTACTGTAATGCCCTCTGCCACAGCCCCTGCCAGCATGGAAAGTCTTTACTCATTCATCTATCTCTGTAAATGGTGACCTCCAGGAGGGCAGGATTCAACCTTTCATCTGTAACCTCAGTGTCTGGCACAGCCTGGCATATAGTAGGTGCTCATTAAATGTTTCCTTACTAGTTACATGAGTCTAACTCTGTGTAAAGGTGTTCCAAAGCACGTATCTTTTTTGTCTGTGCGTTCATTTAATTCAAAGACATGGAGGGGCGCCTGGGTGGCTCAGTCGGTTAAAGTGTCTGACTTCAGGGGCGCCTGGGTGGCTTAGTCGGTTGAGCGTCCGACTTTCGCTTAGGTCATGATCTCGCGGTTCGTGGGTTCCAGCCCCGTGTCGGGCTCTGTGCTGACTGCCAGCACAGAGCCTGGAGCCTGTTTCAGAGTCTGTGTCTCCCTCTCTCTCTGACCCTCCCTTGCTCATGCTGTCTCTCTCTCTCTCTCCTAGAAATAAATAAAAATATTTAAAAAAAAATAAAGTGTCTGACTTCAGCTCAGGTCATGATCTCACAGTGCGTGGGTTCAAGACCAGTGTCGGGCTCTGTGCTGACAGCTCAGAGCCTGGAAACTGCTTCAGATTCTGTGTCTCCATCTTTCTCTGCCCTTCCCCCGCTCGTGCTCTGTCTCTCTCTCTCTCTCTCTCTCAAAATAAACATGTAAAAAAAATTAGTAAAAGGAAATGGAGGGTGATTTTGCATTAAAAGTTCAACAGAAGTTCACAAGCATCCTTTGAGATACTCTGTGGTATCTGAAAATATCACAGAGCCAAGATGAGGTCCACTGGTCGGAAAGAGATGGAATGTTTTTAAGGAGTTTAGTCTTCTTTCCTTCATCTCTTAGTCTTTGGATGACTGCGGAGCACATTTATGGTTGATTTGGCATTCTTGGGAAAGAGGTGCTATTCAAGCATGAGGCGAGATTTTATTAAGGAAACCAAAGCCCCATGGAGGGCAAATTCCACCAGCATAAAAAAGGCAACTGCTCCTTATAATTTCTGGAAGCTGCAGCCAGCAGCTGGAAAGACAGCATTAGCAATAGCATCATCAAGCCCTGAGAATGCAACTGTGAAGAGACTTTGGGATTCTACAGAAGAAAGCTTGCACTGGAAGGTGAGGTGCAGATGGGGGCACAAGTTCTGTTTATTTGCAGTGAACCTGATTTTCCTGATCTGTAAAGGAGAGGCAGCCATCACTTCACAAGGCACTTGGCAGGATTAAAAGGAATGATGACATAACGTCTTTTGTGCCTAGAAGATGCTCAGTCATGGCACAAATATCTCCTCTTTTTCCTCTACAGAAAATCAGAGATGTGGAAATAAATTCTGCTCTTAAGAGGCCACGTGACTGGTGCCCAGAGACTCAGCTGCCCAGTCTGGAAGGGGAAGAGTCACTCTGCTATTACTGGCTTAAAGTGGAAACATGTGCCCACAGTGTTGCTACTGACAGCACCAGAGGTGCTGGAAGAAGGGCCTTCGCTTACAGGAAGTGGCTCTCCTGGAAAAGCTAGCTTGCCTGGCTGGAGTTGAGCCAGCAAGGCTGGCTCTCGCCCTGGCAAACTCTCTATCTCTCCAAGGTCCAGGAGACTGGGAAAACTGGCCAATGTCAGTGGGCCTCCCTCTGTGCAAGCCTCTGGGTTCTTGCTCATGTGCTGGTTGGTGGCTTAGAATATAACCAGTTTGAATTCACCTCTTTCCACCACCTGTAAGTTCTCAGAGTTGCGTAAATTTGAAATTCTGGCACTCTGTAATGGTTAGGTGGGGAGATAAGTGAATTTAGGAAAGATGCCAGGCTTGAATTCCTCCAGCTTCTCACCTGTCCTTTGTCCCAGCACCCATCTGGTGCATATCACTTTTGCAGGGAACTTGAAGACACTGTGCTGCTCTGGTCACCTGATTTCTTTCCCTTTCACCTTTCCATTTCTCCCCTGCCCCCAAAGAACCGAAATGAAATGAGAAGTAAATTGCCAAGGGAGAGTCTTTCCTGGGGCAAATTTCCTGTCTTTGCTTATGGGCATGGAGACCCTGAGTGGGGAGGCTAGTTGCAGAGCACTCTCCCAGAACCAGCCCTGGGGGGACAGGTGCAGGCAGCATCCACTCTTTCCTGGGGTGGGGGTGGGGATTTAACAAGAGAAGGAGGAGGAAGAGAGAATGTATAGGAGACCCCAAGGGCTGTCCCTATTCCTCCACCCTGCCCCACCCCGAAACTGTCAGTCTCCACCAAGACTCAGAGAGAGAGAAAGACAGAGAGAGACAGAGAAAGAGAGAAGTGGGGGTGGGGGGAAAGAGACGGGGGGGGGGGAATCAAAGAAAATTGCAAAAGTCAATGGCCTGGAACTAGAGGCAGCCTCAGCAACTGCAGTGTGACTTTGATTCCCCTATCATAACCCTGAATTAAAAATTCAGGCAATTATCTGCATGGCTTCCTTCTGATTAGAACGAGCCAGAGCCTCATTAATGCATCAGCACAGAGGAAAGCCATTAGGGTCTGTGAAATGGAATGTTTCTCTGAGAACAGGTTCCGCTTGATGTAGAATACCCAGCAAAAAGAAATTTCACACATTTTTGAGCTCAGAGTCACAGGACGGCACCCTGCTTCAGGGCTGCAGACCCCACCTCGGCTGTCCCTTTTCAGCAGGCTCTGGGTGAAAGCCACCTTTGTTTCCCAGCCTCTCTCTGGCACCTCCATCCACTGCAGTCGTGTGGAGGGAGGGAGAAGGGGATGAGAAGCCAGAAGGGACCTCCTGGCTGCTTCCTTTGCTGAGATACTAAGGTGGCCTGGATGTGGGGTCTCAAAGTCCTTAAGACGTGAGGAGCTCCCGAACTTCGTGGGAGTTTGCAGCTCTCCTTTGCTAAGCGAAGTAGAAGCAAGCTTGTCGAGAACAGTATAGGCCCAAGACTCCAGAAAAGAGCAAAGTATCTGCATGTCTCCTTTCCTGACTCATGTGGTGACTTGGGCATCCTAAGGCCATCCAAGCAGGATGTGGATGGAGATGCTGAGACAGCCTTGGGGGCTTGTTGCTAGGAGAGGGTGAAGGGTTGGAGGTCAGGAGGGTACCCTTTGTTCATTCCTTATTCTGAACTCAGTGCTCTTAGATATGCACATCTGCTGCCCAGTCCCCAAACAGTTGAACATCCCTACCACAGCTGGCATTCGGAAACTCTCATGGGCCCTCTATTTGGGATTTCCAGGGCATGGCTCTCTTCTGCAGTGACTGTGTGTCACTTCCAGGGGAAGCCAGAAACAGTTTCCCTTGCAGCCCTAATAAGGCCAATTCTTGGGAAGACTGGGCTTGCTCCAGAAGTGTTGCCTAGATTTTCTTCAAGCCAGTGGGCGGGACTTGGGCTTCCTCATTTCAGACAGCCCAGTCTTCTTCTAACAGAGGGATTCTCGGGACACCAAACATTGATCCTGGGGACAAATATGCTCTTCAGGAGGAAAGCTAGTCTTACACGGTGAAAACTAATAAAGATGAGAAAGGTTTTGTAAAAAAAAACTAGTTACAGTCAAGTATGATGCCAACCAGGAAAATGTTATCCTTCAAACTGTTTGGCTAAGCCACGTTCTTCTGCTGGCATACCTGTTAACTATTCGGTGTGAGGAACCAGGGCCAAGTGTCTGTGCAGAGCTGTAAACACAGTGAGCAAAGGATGGGGATAAAGGAGTCAATGTTTAACTAATCTCGGTTGTAGCAGCTGCGCCCCCTACTGTACACCAGCTAAACTAGGCGACCCGAGGTAATTCAGGTTTTCAAGATGTTTTCAGTCACATCCCACGATAGAAGGGTACATTCCTGGTCACTGGGGAGTTTTTATGAAGCATGCTTTCAATAAAGCAGACAACTTTATGGGTGAAGGTTCTTAGAGTTTATCTCACCTCCCCCCCCCCCCCAACACAAACAAGATGCTCGGTGATTCAATTACGTTCTTTGTGGATTCCAAGCGTCCGTCTTTCCAACACTTTGCTCTTGCTGGGCCAACACTCAACAAAGTCAAATGCGGTGACTGCAGATGACCGCTGCGTGAAGGGCTGACCTAAAGGCAACCGAAGTCTTGGGTGGGGGGAAGTTATCTCTCTAGGCTCACCAGCAGGTATGAGAGAGAGGGGGGCCTGGCCAAAGGTCAGGAATGTGGGGCTTCTGGAGAGCAAAGCTACTCCACCAGCCCCACAGCACAGGCCTTCCTTCTGCCACGGGAAGTGATCGAATCTTAGCCCTGAGTGCCTTACTACCTTCCATGGTATTTCTCAATATTTTAAACAGACTCTTGCCAGTTAGATCATTTCCTTTCTTCCCAAGACCAGTCAGATCATCCCTTTCTTCCCAAGACTGTTCAGTTCCCACCTTTGTGATTTGTCATTCCTTATTCATGCAACAAGTATTTTCTGAGCATTTGTCATGTGGTAGACATTGTTCTAGGAACAGGAAAGCTGAACACAAGAGGGAAGAAGTCTCTGTTCTCATGGAGCATATATTCCAGTTGGAACGCAATTACAGAAAGACAGACGAGTGAGTCAGCAGTGTGAGTGCCGTGGGCAAACAAAGCTGTGTCGGGAGGGTGAGAGATTGAGGGAGGTCTACTTTATACAGGTGGTCTCTCAGGAAAGCCCCTTGGAAAACCTTTGTGCTGCATTCTGGCAATCTGTCTTATTTCTCGCTTTCTTTAAAATCTTTTTTTCATGTGTATTTATTTTTGAGAGAGAAAGACAGAGTGTGAGCAGGGGAGGGGCAGAGAGAGAGGGAGACACAGAATCTGAAGCAGGCTCCAGGTTCCCAGCTGTCAGCACAGAGATGGACACAGAGCTCCATCTCATGAACCGCGAGATCATGACCTGAGCTTAAGTCGGATGCTTAAGCGACAGAGTCACCCAGGTGCCCCATTTTTTCTCTCCTTTAAAATTAGGATTGCCTCTTCCGGAAAACAACCTCTATTAACTATCACCCCTGCACTGATGTTTCTTTTGGCTCCTTTCTGCTCCAGCTTGTTCATTCTTGGAAAGATATACAGTTATACCTTTGATGATAGACTCCTGGAATAAGGATCCTGTCTTCTACTTCTTTGGTTTGCTATCATCAGAACAGGGGCTGAGGGGGGCAGGGAGGGAACAAGCATTGTATGATGTGCTAGAGACATTACCACATCAGTTCATCCCCTCCACACACAACTCTTGCAGATTCTGTATTATAGTCCCCATTAGAAAACAAGGAAAGTGAGGCTTAATTTATCCAAGGGCATACAACTTCCAAACGGTGTGCCTGGGATTTGAACCCTGACCTGGCCATGCAAAAGAAGTGATTAAACTTCTCCTGTCTGCTGGATTATAAATCCTTCTTTTGCTACTAACCGGGCGACCACAGGCATGTCACTTCTCCTTCCTGGGGCTCATAACCCCTTCTCTGTAAACTGAGGTTAGACCACAGGATCTCCAGGTCTTTTCCAGCTCCGACATTCTATGAAATACACTCTCCCACAAGTAATGGGCCAGGGTAGAGGGCAGGGAGAAGTCAAGTGACTTCACCACATCCAATCTGATCTTTTAAGAGAGAACAAAAGGCAACATTTTGTTCATTCAATTAAAATTCAACATATACTGAATACGTGCCAGAGCCTGGCATGTGCTCAGGATACAGACACAAACTTTTACTTTTATACATTGATTTAGTTATTTAAAAAAAATTTTAATGTTTTATTTATTTCTGAGAGAGAGAGAGAGAGACAGCATCAGCAGGGGAGAGTCAGAGAGAGAGGAAGATACTGAATCTGAAACAGGCTCCAGGCTCTGAGCTAGCTGTCAGCACAGAGTCTGACACAGGGCACAAACCCACGAACCGCGAGATCATGACCTGAGCCAAAGTCGGAGGCCTAGCTGACCGAGCCAATCAGGTGCCCCGATTTATTTATTTTAATGTTTATTCCTTTTTGAGAGAGAGAGAGACGGACAGACCATGAGCAGGGGAGGGGCAAAGAGAGAGGGAGGTGCAGAATCTGAACAGGCCCTGAGTTGTCAGCACAGAGCCCGATGTGGGACTGGAATTCATAGACTGTGAGATCTTGACCTGAGCCAAAGTCAGACGTGCAACCTACTGAGCACCCTGCAGACACAAAGTTTTAAAGCATGTTTTCATCCTGAAATGCGTGTAAAGGGAAGGACAAACATGACAAGAAATTATTACAATAAAAATAATGGCCAACCTTTTACACAGCACTTACTCTTTGCCAGAAATTGGTCTGAGTCCTTGGAAACCTTTTAACTCATTTCACTCTTCCCAACCATCCAAGAAGTGTGTACTATTTTTGTTCCTACTTTACAAATAAGTTAACTGAGGCACAAAGAGGTGTGTATGTCAGAGCTCTTGTGAACACTAATAATGCATGCAAACTATTTACAGGGCCTGAGATGCAGAAATTAAGCTAGGCAGATGTTGTGCAACATTAACTGGTGCTTTTGTTTCCCTGATAGTTCCGTTATTCCTTGTTTGACCCCTCTGCCATTAGTAATCAGTCGCACACAGCCAGTTGGAGGGATGGGACTTTCTGCAGAGAACAGAGAAAGCTGTAGGGTTTTGAAACTCCAAATCTGTGTCTGTGAAGTAACTCAGGACATAGAACAAATTAGGTGAGTTAGAGCCAGTTTTACGGCCCACAGAAAAGGGGAAAGTGGGAGCGAGTGTGGTGGTGGAAAGAGGCATCCTAGACACCCTGAGAAATGGAGAACTAGAGCCTGTTCCCTATTCGAGCTAGATGTCCGACAAGTTGTAGGGTCTGACTACAGAGCAAGAAGAGCTGGTGTATATGCTGGGGGTGCCTGACATGGACCCGCCGAGTTGTTCCCTGGGCACTGATGTGGCGAGAGAGCCAGAGTGCCCTGGGTGTGAGAGCTTGGAAGTAGAAGAGGTCTGAGCCCTGCAAAGTCCCACTCTGGCCAGCACAGTGCCCACAGCACAGTGAATGTCTGTCTCCTTCGCAGCAGTGTGGATGTAAAAAGAGGGCCACTGGGCCTGAAGAGTCTTTTAGAATAGGAACAAGAAAAATTGCTGCCTGAGGGACCAGCATAAGAAGTAGATGTCTTACAGCTGCTACAAAGAGACAGTGGGTCGTAGCGGCCCAGACAGGGACTCCTTGAGAGCAAGAGTGTCTGTCCACTTAGGCCACTGCTCCATCCTGTGGGCCTGGGTCAGGTGATTGATCAAAACTTGTTGAATGAATGACTGTAGGTAGGCTGCCTTCAGAGCCAGGTCATTGTGTTTCAAACCTCAGATCTGCCTCTTACTACCTGAGTAAAACTCTTCCCTTCTCTGTGCTTCATGTGCAAAATGGGGATAAAAATCACACAGATGAGGGGCGCCTGGGTAGCTCATTTGGTTAAGCATCTGACTCTTGATTTCGGCTCAGGTCATGATCTTATGAGTTAATTAGATTGAGCCCCAAGTTGGCCTCAGTGCTGATGCAGACCCTGCTTGGGATTCTTTCTCTGCCCCTCCCCCCCCTCAAAATGAGTAAATAAATATTAAAAAAAATAGTTCAGGTCAGTACTGATCCAAGGTCAAAAGAGAGGATGTGTAAAGTGCTTAGTACCTGGCATAGCACAGGTGTTCAATAAGTATTTGTTCTTAGTATTAGCAGATGGCCCTCCTTGTCCTGCACCTCAGTGTGACTTTAGATATTCCCCAATGCTGAAATCAGACACAACCTTGAAGAAAAATTGAGGACTCCTGAGTTGACTGAGATAGAATTCCCACCACCATGATACAATGGAGACTCCTAATAGAAATTAAGCTAAGCACTTAAAAAAAAAACTTGCTTTTCTTGCACAATGGATTTTGGAGGCTGATATTCATATTCAAGAATAATGCAAGCCTGTGAAAAATTAGATGTCCCTTGAAGACCTTTGCTAGCATTTTAAATGAAATAGCTTTCTCCCTTGTAAGCATGTTTATTCACAGGACAACTTACCTCTCACCTTACTTGTCCTTCTAGAAAAGCACAGTTCTGAATTCAGGTGAGTTTTCACTTGCCAGTGCTGCTAATACTACTAAACTTTAAGGCAAAGAGGATAAGTCTGGGAAATAGGATTCTGTCTTTCTCTCTTCTTCTCTCTTTTCTCTAGGCTTTCCTGAAGAAATTCAGTACAAAAGGTTTTACTTATTGTAAATTCTTTTGAAGGTGGGTGATAAATATTATCACTAATTTTTTAAGGATTATTTTTTCAAATAAATAATAAGGATTTATTTTTGAGAGAGAAAGAGAGCATGAGATGGGAAGGGGCAGAGAGAGAGAAGGAGAGAGAATCCAAAGCAGGCTCCTTCTTCTAAGCCATTCAGAGCAGAGCCCGATGCCAGGCTTGAACCCATGAACTATGAGATCATGACCTGAGCCAAAGTCAGACGCTTAACCAACTGAGCCACCCAGGTGGCCCAACATTAATTTTTTATTTTAAAATATCTGCTTCTATCTGACTTCCCACTTATTTAAATGCCAGTAGGTGACCAACTCTTCCATGTGCCCAGGACTATTACCATTTTAACATTGAAAACCCCATATCCTGAGAATGCCAGTGATAAATCAGGTAGACTTGTTAGCTCAAAAAGTGTTTGTTTGGAGATTTTTTTGGGGAGGTGGGGATGGACACAGGAAATGTACTTGTTTGAAACCAAAAGTTCCCTCCTGGGAAACTGATTCCCCTCTGGGAGACCCCCACTCCACTCACTATTAGACAGTGTGGCCCTGAAGATCCTGCAAAGGCAGATTCATCCCTCTGGGAACGTCTGATTTGACAAGGAGGAAATGGTGGCTGGTTGTGGGGTGGGGGTGGCAGAGAGAGGACTATTTCAGATACAGCCACCTGACAAGTCTGCTAACCCTTGTCTTGGCATCCTTCCTACAGCATCCCTCACTTTGGATCAGGCTCTGGGTCCCCCAACAAACCCCACAGGGCAGTTCCTGCATCTCCAAGTCACCGTCAGATCTGTGTGTACAGAGCTCTGAGGGTGTCCCCATGCAAGGGAGCAGCCCAAGCCTGGGGGTTCCTTTGGGACACATGGAGTGGCTGCCCAGAGCCTCCATAGATGTCCCTTTCCCTCAGACCAAGGGTCTTGTGCTGTTTTTGTGGTGTCCGCAGACCTCATGGAATCGGCTCACTGCATGCAAGTCGAGTTTCCGGTCACAGAGGATGCAGCACGACCTGTTTCCACACCTGGTAGGTGAATGTGAGGGCCCAGTCAGGACTGTGGGCATTTGGATTTCTGAGGCCACAGTGCTCCTCCCATGGGCTGGGGTCTCTCATGAGATTGCTGGACTGCAGTCATCTGAAGGCTTGACTAGAGCTGGGATGGTCTGCTTCCAAGATGGCTCATCACATGGCTGTTGGCTGGAGGCCTCAGTTTCTTACCATGAGGACCTCTCTGTAAGGCTACTTGAGTGCCTCCCTGACATGATTAGCTTCCCCTGTTATAAGATCAAAGAGAAAAAAAGCAAGAAGGAAGCCACAATGCTGTTTAAGACTCAGTCATGCACTATCATTTCCTCCATATTCTAAGTCCTCCAAGCCATTCTAAGTCCAGCCTGAGCTCCAGGGAAGGGGAATTAGGGAGGAAAAAGAATCAAAGGATTTGGGGATATAATTTAAAATCACAGTTTCCCAAGGCATTAAGTGACTGACCTGGGAATGAATTTCCACAAAGGCTGGTTCTGGTAGTAATGCAATAGGAGGAACATGGGCTTTGAGTCAAATCTGAGTTTGAAATCAGGCTTTGCTACTTTCCATTTTCTGGGATCTGGGCCAAATGGTCATCTCTAAACCTTAGTTTCTTCATCTGTAAAATGAAAATAAGAATTGTAATTCTTTTTTTTTTTTTCCCTAGGAGAGAGAGAGAGAGACAACGTGAGCAGGGGAGGGTCAGAGAGAGAGGAAGATACTGAATCTGAAACAGGCTCCAGGCTCTGAGCTGGCAGTCAGCACTGCGGGGTTCGAACCCACAAACCGCGAGATCATGACCTAAGCGAAAGTCGGACGCTTAACCGACTAAGCCACCCAGGCGCCCCAAGAATTGTAATTCTTTGATGGAGTTTTATTATAATCTAAATAAGATGACCCACGCAGGGACAGACTCCAACTGTATGGGGCCTGACACCTTTCCAACTTGACAGGGTCCTTTTGAAGAAAGGAGAATGAAAAATTACAAGTATAAATTGGGCACAAAATGAACATTTATTTAGAATTAAAAATGATAAGAATGGAGTCCCTGACTGGCTCCATTGGTAGAGCATGTTGTGACTCTTGATCTCAGGGTCATGAGTTCAAGCCCCATGTTGGGCATGGAGCCTACTTAAAATGAAACTTAAAAACATTAAGAAATGACCCCCCCCAAGCCCCCCACCTTTTAAAGTGGGTGAATATCACAAAGTCACAAAATTCAGAAAAATGACAATTTAAAAAATCACCTAGGTATACCTCTTTAAAATACTGCCTTTCCTACATTCTGACTGCATACTTTTTGGTCACTTGTCAACGTAACAAAGATTTTGCAATATTTTCCAAAGGCAGGGGCGTCTGGCTGGCTCTGTCAGTACAGCATGTGACTCTTGATCTTGGGGTCATGAGTTTGAACCCCACATTGGGTGTAGAGATTACTTAAAAATAAAATCTTTAAAAATATATGTTTTCTATGGTCAGAAAATGAAGATAATTTGGTCTTTCTTTAACATGGTTGATTAAAATTTGTTTTTTATTATTGAGAGTTTATATTCAGCTCTACAATTTATTATGCATAATGTCAGGCATTTTTTTTGGTCAAATTTGGTAAGCCTCCGTTTGGCTGTTTGTCAAATTTGGCTGTTGTCAAATCTGGTAAGCCTCTATCTTTTTTTTTTTTTTGGAGTTTGGAGTTTGGAGCTTTATTTATTTATTTTTATTTATTTTTTTTTACAAATAGTTTATTGTCAAATTAGTTTCCACATAACACTCAGTGCTCATCCCCACAAGTTATCCTTTTTTTTTTAAATACATGAGCTCAGGGCTTCAAGCGTTCCTGGGTAGTGAATTGATGGTACCCATTAGCCAGGGCTGTTGAGGAGGTCTGCAGAAGAAAGGGGTTGGAAGTTTCAACTTGCGAGACCGTCTTCCCCTGGAAGCAGTTATGTATGGAACACAGGGCTCGGGAAATGGAGGAAGCACAGACAATTCTTGTCTTCCTGCTCCACCGCCTCTGGCAAAGTCAGAGATTTCCTGTCCTTGATTCTACCTTCCTTCTTCTCCAGTAGCTTCTCCAGTGCCCCTTAGAGCCAGGGACAAAAATACACCCCTTGGGTGGGTAGCATACTGGACTCAGGATGAAAAGATCTGGGTTTGAGTCCTGTCTTTATCACTCCACTGTGGGACTTTGGCAAATTACCCAACCTCGCTGTATGTCAGTTTCTTGGTCTCTGAGATGGGCATAGTTATGACAGCCTCGTGGGTTGTTGCCTATGAACAGCAGAATACCAGTACAAGGGCCTCGTGAATTACAGAGCAATTTTACTAATGTAGCCTAGAAATTACCAAGGAAAGTTGGACACTATCTAGTGTTTATGAGCCTCTTAAATTATTTGTTCTCTGTGGCCTAAATGAATTAGAAATTAAAACTGGACTTTAATCAAATTTGACATAAAGACCAGGACAGCAAAATTGTCCACTCTTTCCGCAAAAAGGTACTGAGTTCTCGCTGTTGCCATATTTGTGCTACAGATAGGGATTCCAGGATAGACAAGACACAGTCCTGGCCCTTCAGGTATGGAGCACAGGTCAGTGAAATCCCAGACAGACATCTGGAAAACGGGCTCAGCTCTCAAGCCTGATAAGTTCACAAACTTGGCCTCCCTGTCCCTCAGTGTCTCCTTCTGCCAAGGGGCATTGCTAACTGCTAGAGAGGGGTGTGGACGCAAACGAGGGTCTGCACATCTCAGAGAACGTCTGGGCAGAGTCATCAGAGGGTTGCACAGAGCACTGCTGAGACTGGCTATTCCTGGGGAATTTTCAGGAAGCTTTGAAGTGCCGCCAGGGCGAGGGAGGTCACCCCATCCTGGAGGTGCATTCACTGGTAATTTACTCCTCCACGTGGGCTCTGGAGCTCCAGTCTCATAAATACATCGCCTGCTCAATCCCACAATGGAAGACAGACAGAGAGAGGGGGCTGGAGGGGAGAAATCACTAAATTAAGAAGGTCCCTGGGAGTGACAGCCTACAGACACAACTGAGTCCCCTAAATTTCTCTCCTTCAAGCATAAATATTTCCAACTAAGATCACAGACTCCCTCCTCATAAAATCAATGAAACCACAAGGGAAAATGACCTCCCGCTTGATTGCACCAGAGATATCTCAAACGGAGTCACTTCCCCTCCCACAGAAGCAACCGTTGCTGGGGTTCAGGATCTGAAACCCAGGCACTGCCACCGAGAATCTGAGGCTAAGAAAAAGTCAGGTGGGGCGAGTACGTGTCTGTCTCATTTGACTTGCTGTGTTTCGTGATGGCTTCCGAGCGACCCAGATGCAGCATGAGACTTTTTTCTGGAGCCAGACCTGGGTTCAAGCTCCAGCTCCTCTAATTACTGGCTGGGCATCTTTGGGCAAAGTAGGATCTTTCTAGCACAGTTTCCTCATCTAGTACAAGGAGGATGAGATAGATAATGTACGGCGTGGTCTGCCTGTCATGCAGGAGAGGTGACAAGATCAAGAGAACTGTCTGTGCAAATGCTTCATAAACCATAAAGCCCTTGACAAATAAGAGCTCTTGTTATTAAAAGATAAAAGCACCAATCCTGCTAGTTAGTGTACTTGTTAGAACCCCTTATGCTGTAAGTGACAGAACTCCTAACTCAAACTGGCTAAAACTGCAATTGAACATAATCGAAAAGGATGAAAACATAATTGAAAAGGATGGACTCAGGTGAGGACAAGATTCAACATCACCAAGAGCCAGCTCCTCCCCAGTCCCCACAGTGACTGCATATGTCACATCTTGACTAGAAGCCATCCAGAGAAGGGAAGCGCCTTTCCCCCAATTTCCATTAAAGAGGGACGGAGGGAGAGGAGTGAGGGACTCTTCTTTATCCAGACTTAGCCTATGTATCCAATTTCACTGGCTCTCTTTCCACAGCCTGGAGATCAGATATGCTGATTGGCTGAAGAGAATCAAGGACCATCCCTAGATCTGGAGGCAGGATCATGATGCCAACCAAACCATATTTGGAGGGGTAACTTTATCAGAAGAGTGAGCAAATGCCAAGTTGCACAAACATCCAGACAGTACAGTCCACCCCCTTTAACTGCCCAATATCCACACCCACCTGTATTCCCATAAATACAGCTCCAAAAATCCCCACTCTCTATATGAACACAGTCAACCTCTTTTTCCAAAAGAGACAAGCCACAATTTGATGTACTCTGGTTCATGATGTACTCATGATCCCTATGGAGAGAGTTGCTGTGGTCCTATGTGGTCCAGTGAGGCTCAGTGGTAAATTTAATACATTCAGTAAGCAGTAATGGAGAGAGAACAGGGTATCTCATTTGGAAAAGGAAAAGACAGGATACAATTGTCAATGGTCACCATGTCATACTCTGCTAGAAATCACATGGATGTCGTTCCTCAAAAGCAAGTACCTGTCCTCCCCAGTGCTGTCCTCCAAAACCCTCTCCTTTGCCTTTTGCCCTCTGTGACCCCTGCTGTCTCTTTGGGGAAGTCCCTCCTGTGTTGACCTTCACAGACCATGTGATAGATATGTGCATCAAGGACGGTGCCCCTTTTGGGAGCTGCACTGTTCTATCAGCTCTCTTCCTGCTGCTGTGAGTTTGGGAGCCTGGAAATCACTATTGTAGATCGTTGTGAACCAGGCTTGCAGTTCCTCTGGCAAAATGATGCCCTTAAAAAGTGACTGGGATCCTGGTTTATTGGTTCTGGCTAGTGCCATGGATGGTAACAAGAGTCAGGGATCTTACCACACCATAGGCTTTGAACTAGAACTGTCTGTGGCCTGGCAATAGGCCCAGGTGCTCTGGCCATCCTTTAGTATCTGTCTTGGCCTCTACCTGAGAATAATGTAGAACATCAGGCTAGGTGGGGATGACCTATGGAACTACCCTTTCCTCACAATAACAACCAAAATATTAGAAGCAACATTTATTGATTGCTTACTCTGGGGCTGGCACTGTTCTAAAGGCTTTCCTTGTAGAATCCTCATGGCAACCCTATGAGACAAGAACCATTATCATCCCTCCTTTGCAAACACTGGTCATGGAGCAGTGAAAAATCTGCTCTCAAGTGGTGGGGCAGCAATGCAAACCCAGGCAGGCTGGCTCTGCAGTCCCAGTGGAGCACTGACTACTGTTGTGTTGCTCACTGGCTGCTTCCTGCGCATCTTCCCAAGGGTCTTGCTGACTTTTTGTTCGAGGCTTCACAGGAGGTGCCTGGGAGGAGTCTCTCCCAGGCCTTAATCTTATCTCCTGCTTGGTGTCTCTGTCCCCATTATGGAACTTCTTCTAACTTTTTTCTTCCAAGTATCTTTCTTTTGCTAACTTTGGTTTGTGGGTTGGGAATTGAGAGTTTCCTGGACTCTCAGATGATTGTAACTCCAGACTATTGGCAAAAGGGCAACTTTTAGCAAATCTGTATTTTCTCCCCTCTCTTACTGTTGGATGGATTGGGTTTAGTTTAATCAGTTTAAGCTAATCATTCTTGGAAGACCTTGCTGAAGAAGTTACTAGCACACTCCAAAATTTGAAATTTTCTTACAATATCCTTTAATGTTAAAGCCTCAGGAAGCACACAGTATGAGTCTCAAGGATTATTAGGCAACAGGTTAACCCACTGTTTACTATAACTTAAAGAATTATTAATTTTCATATCAATTCTTTCCTTCACCTGA